AGGCAGAGCAGGCTCTGTCGAGCTGAGCCCCTGGGCTCTCCTCCTCACTGGAGCCGGGGGCCCACGGACCACCCGGCGAGGCAGTGGTCTCCAGCCCCAGGCTGCTGCCGCCCCAGGACACGAGGCAGGATGCAGCTCACGAGCCTCTTCCTGCCACCCGGCCTCTATCTGCACAGACCTTCTGCTTCCTCCTCCCTCCCCGGAGCCAAGCTAAACATGAACATCAGCCTTTTTGGCCAGGCCGGCTTTGCCATCACGCCTCTCATCTCCTGCAGGCAGGCCAAAACACGGCAGGTAGACACCCAGGGAGGGTGAGAAGTCTCAGCACAGCTCCAGAAGGAGCAGGCGAAGGTGGGGAGCCAGCAGCACCCACCAGCCTGCGGGAAGGAAAGTGCAGCCGCAGAGGGATCAGGGCTCCCCATCCCTGCGAACACCGCTGAGCTCCGGAGCTGGGGAAACACCACCCAGCAGGTACGTAGCCAAGGAGCCCAGGTCCCACTGGCGCTCTGCTCCCTCCCATCAGCATGTGCCTCCAAGGGCAGGGAGCTGCTCCAGCCATGTGAGGGTCTCACGCGTGTGATGAGCAGGGAAAGTGCTCAGCTGCCATTGCCCTCTCCTTACCCTGTGAAGAATGAGGGAGGGAGAAGCAGCTCCTTCCTGTGATGTTTACGCTGTTTACACGGTGCTGCACGGGCAGGATGGGAGCACACCCCCACGCAGTAGCACAGTGCCGATTTCCAGGCCAGGTGAGACATCCGCCTCCCACCTTCCCCAGGATGCAGCTGCAAGACCTGGCAGGGCGCTGGGCTATCTATCAGGGGATAGGAGGAGTTGAAAAGGAACATGCTGCCCTGTTCATCCAGCACCTGCTTATTGCTAAGCCCTCTGCAAGGATCTAGGGGGGCACTTACCCATCTTGCTGGTATCCCAAGGCAGCACAGCTCAACAGGCTCTCAGCTGGCCATGAATTTCCCTGGAGGAGATGGGGACCACGCACATGCCCTACGTTAGCTACACGCACCACGCTCTGAAGCCAAAGCCCTGGTGCCCATGGGCATCCCCATTCCCCCTGCTTGCAGGGCATCTCTCATCACAGCCACCAGCTTGGGGGTCAGGGTTTCTGACTAACTGAGGGCAAAAGGGCAAATAAATTTCTATTAATAGTCACAAAGCTGGCACTGTGCACTGCAAGAGGGGCTAGGAGACCCCCCCCGTGCACAAGAAGTGAGAGCGCCCGATAAGCAAGGTTTGTCGCCCTGCATTGCAGGCTGGTGAGCTCATCAGCAATGCCCTGACCGACAGCTCTGAGCCGGGGTGCACGGAGCGAAGAGCGCGGGGCGAGTACTGAAGGCTCCTTTGTTTTCCCCTAGCTGAGCTGTCCCCTCCATCTCCCTTGTTAAACACGCACCGAAATACAAGGGGGTGAGCCAGTCAAAGAGGCCTGTGATCCGAGAAGGCAGCACACGGACCGCTGAGCGGAGCCTGTGCCCGGGGGAGTGGAGGAAGTGGAGGAATTAATTTCCTATGCTCATTAGGCTCCCAGCCCAGATAAGGATAGTGGGGTGGCTGCAGGAAGCAAGGGGAGCGTGCTCAAAGCCCCAAAGTTAGGGCAGTAGCACTGGAGGCTTTAAAGGGGCTGATGATCTGCCATCTCCAGCATCTGTCATCCCCCGGGCACAGACAGTGGTGCAATGGCAGCAGAGCGCCTTCCCACTTCAAGGGGCACCACTATGACAGCACTGCCCCTTTGCAAAGCTTTCGAGAAGCCAAGGGCTATTACCTAGCAGGTGGGTACCTTTCCACTAGAGACCTCTCAAGACCTCACCCAGTCCAAAATAGCAGGATCCCATCATGTTCATCAAAGTCGGAGTTGGCCCCACCCAACCCTCCGTCTGCCTCCTCCTGGGAGCCACGCATCCCACATCAGGCAGGAAGAAACTCTGGTCCCAGCTGACATCAGCAACCTTCCCTGGCTGCCTTCTGCTGGCTTTGGTACCAAGAACAGCTCAATCCCCTACAGCGACACCGGCACTAGCTCTAGGGGGAGCCCACATCCAGCCCTGCCAGGCAAGCCATCGACTATCTAGCACATGGGCTCCCCATCCCAAACGCACCAGGCTGCTGCTCTCCCATTTCCATGCAGGAGCCCAGACGTCACTCGGTGCTTTGCGGGTCTGTGGGGCTCCCACAGCCCTGCCCAGGCAACGGGCACGGCACTGGGGGCAGCGGAGGCCAATGCAACGTACCCAAAGTCGCCCAGCGCACCAAGGACAGGGCTGGCAGGGGAACCCACGTGTTACTTCTACGAATGCCAGACTCCACACCAATCTGCCTCCTTACCTAAAACATTGTAGACCAGGGCACAGGGCTGCTCCGGAGCTGGAGCACAGACAAAAGGGCTGCTCAGGACCACCTGCCCAGCCAGGCAATGTATGCTTTAACACGGCGGCCAGGGTTCGCGTTCCTGGGGTGGATGTGACAGCAGTGGTGTCAGTACACAACCTGGCCCTCGGGGGCTCGATCAACTGTAGCTGTGAAACCACAAAGCCCTGGATCGGAAACAGCAGTAAGACATCAAAGGGCTCTGCTGCTCCCCCAGGGGAAAGAAAACACTACATCAGAGCAGCCATTGGGGCGGAGCAGGTGGAGCAGCCAAAGAGAGACCCCGCGTCCCCCTCCTACCTAATCATGGCCTCGCTCATGAGACCTCTCTGGCCTCGCACCTTTCCCTGGTGCTAACAAATAAGTCCCTTTGGTGGTTTCTTCAGGGGTTTCTCTTGCAACCTAAACCCAGTGGGATTGGACCAGTTTGCTGGGCTGAGCTGGGCTTTGAAAAAGGCATCCCAGGGCAGCCCTCCCAGCTTGCAGATCACTCCTCTCCAAGTTTCCAGCCTTCCTGATTCCCACAGCAGGGATGGGAAGATGATAGAGAGGTCTTTAAGCTTGGGAAGGCCAGGAGCTGTGGCAACAGATGGTTTTAGTGTTAGCTAACTCGGGCTGGATGTGCTGGGGGAAGAGACACTGGTCAGGACTCCCAACACTGGCTGAGCAGAGCTGGCGGGGGACTCGGGAAGAACAGCGTGACAGTATTTTCCTCTGCTGCTACAGCCCACCCTGGAAGCAGCGTCAAGCATGACGCTGGCAGCTCTCTGTCCTGCCGACCGCTGGTCCCCCCAGCCCGCAGGAGCTGCACCGCATCCTCGTGACAGCTTCCCCACTGCCTCTCTCCACCTCTCACCCAGGGCATCTCTATTTTTAGACCTGGGAGCACTTCCCTCTCAGGGACCCACTTCCACAGTGCAAAGATAAGGGTCCCGGAGCAGCCTGCAGCTGCAGAGCCCATCTTCCCCGCCTCCCTGTCCTGCGCTCGGTCACGGGAGCGAAAAGCAGGTCTTGTTCCAGCAACCTGCAAGGAGGAGGAAGAGGCTCCAGCTGGGCTGAGGCAGGAGTTTCCTGGTGCACAGACACGGCTTTCAGAGGGAGAGAGAGGAGGACACGTGGGTTGTCACCCCAAGCAATGCGGGTCCACGCGCATGGCCTGACAGACAGCCCTGGGGAGATGCTGTTTCACAGGAAGCCACATCCACGCCATAACACCCCTGCCTGGTCCACTGGACAGCGCGCAGGGACGCCTACGCCGCGGCCGACCCCGGCCCCTCCACGTGCCGAAGGCAGGGCCACCCAGGTGCCGAACGCCCCGCTGATCAGCTTTTCCTTCCTCCGCCTGGACCCAGCGGCGTTTCCTCCCGGGCCAGGTGAAGGCTAAGGGCGAGGGGGGAAATCGGATGCTGGGAGTGACAGCCATTGTTTGTAGCTAAAATAAAAACCAAGCAAAAATAAAAAGCTTCCTGCTGGCGCAGGCAGGGCCCCAAGACAATCCGCTGGCCTGCAAAGGGCTGGTTAGAGCTGCCGCCGGCGGCAAACCAACATTTATAGCCCTTGGGAAGCTGGAAATAGGTGGG